CCTCCGGCTCCCTGCGGGGGCTGCTCGGAAAGTGAGTGGGGAGGGAGGAAGGGGTGGCCAGCCATCCATGCCCCCTTCCCTCCATCCCCAGCTGAGCTGCAGAAACACGTGGTTGGAGCAGGGACTTGCCTGGACTTTGGTCGTTGGCACATCTAAGTGGTGGAGATGGAGGGTTGGCAGCTCTGTGCAACATCTCGTTCGCACCTCGTGGATGGTGGTGCTCCTAGGGGCCTGCCTGCAGATGGAGGAAGGGGTCTAACACCTGTGTGAACATGATCTCAGGGGTGTTTTCCATGTGAGGTTGCAAATCTAGGGTGGATTTAGCCCCATGATGCCTGTGTGGCTCTCTTGGCTGGGCTGGGGCCTCTCCAGAGCTCACCACAGTGGTGCTGGGATTTTGACCACCACTGATGGGGTGTGAGCAGCAGCCCTGAAGTTAAGGAGGTGAACAGGGATGTGCAGGAAGAAACCTTCAGTGGTAGGGCAGGGATTAGCAGAACCACTGCGGAGCCTGTGAGGGTTCAGCTGGTGTGAAACACCTTTGGTTTATGGAGCAGGAGCAAGGAGGCAGCAGATGCCTGCTGGGATGCAGGGGGTGGTGGTGTTTAGCTTTCCCTTGGAGGGAATGAACAGGTCAATGCAGCAGGCAGCATTCTGCTGGGGTGGGAGATTGGCAGCTTGGCTGGTACCAGGCTCTCCAATCTCACGTCTGCAGGTACGAGGAGCTGAAGGTGCTGGCTGGAGGGCTGAAGGCTGATGCTGATGGGATGGCAGACAAGGCAGACAAGGCCTATCAGGGCAGCCTGGTGCTCCTCAACTCCCTGTCCCGCCTGAAGGAATCTGACATCAGGTCCTTTGAGGTGAGAGCTTTGTGCCTGTGGGACCAGGAGATTCCCTTTTGCTCTCCCCAACACCCTCCCTGCTACCCTGCAGCCCCTTCCCAGGGCTCAGTCTCTGTTGGAGACCACTTGGATCTTCCCACTCTTTTTCCCCTGGTTCCGAGGAAGCAGTGGGAGGTGCTGAGAGCCCACTGTGTCTGTTTCAGGGGGAGGCATCCCGGCTGAGGCAGGATGCCAGTGCTCTGCTGGGCCTGGCGGACACCTACATGGCCCAGTACAAGCAGCTGCAGAGCAGCACGAGGCACTGGGAGGAAGAAACCAAAGAGCTGCTGCAGAGGGGAGAGGGCGAGAGAGCGGTAAGAGGCTGGTTGGGGGGCTGGGTTGTCTCCAGCAGGAGCTGGAGCCTTGGTGGGATGCCCATGGCACCACTGCTGTCCCAGCCTGGTTGCCTAAGGGGACGCAGCTCTGCCTGCCTGTTGTGGGATAGTGCCCTTCCTTGGAAGTGCAACCTTGGGGTTAGTCTTCTGGAGCCAGTGGGAGACCTCACGGTGTGTGTGGAGCTGCTGGCTCAGGGTCTCACATACACATCTCCCTCTGAGTCAGGTTGAAGACCTGCTCCTGAATAGGCTGGAGTTAGGATGACTCAGGAGCTGGTTGAGACGCACTGGCACAAGCTTGTGCTGACAGATCAGGCTGTGGTAGCCTTGATTCAAGGGCAAGAACAGGCATTTGGGAGCAGCCTGATGGGTCTTCTCCATCCTTACTCCTTGCATCTGTCTGACACTCCCATACCATGTCCTTCATCCATCTGTTGTGTCCCTTTGACCCATCACAGAAGCTGACACAGCTGCTGTCCCGAGCCAACCTCGCCAAGAGCACAGCCCTGCAAGCTGTGAGCGCTGGCAACGCCACCTTCTACGAGGTGGAACAGATCCTGAAGAGCCTCAAGGGTAACACCCTGGAAACCCTTCCTTTCCCTTTCCATGTGGGGTCTCACAGAGGTAGCACAGCTTCATTTCCACGTGTGTCTTCCAGAGTTCAACCTGCAAGCAGGTGACAAGAGGAGGGAAGCTGAAGATGCCATGAGGAGGCTGCCCATCATCAGCAGCATGGTCACCAGTGCCAGGGAGAAGACAGACCGAGCTGAAACGACCCTGGGCAATGCTGCTTCCCAATCCAAGGCAGCCAGCAGCACGGTGGGGAAAGCAAAGGAGATCACCACAGGGATCCAGCAGGTGTGTGCAGACCCTGGTGTGATTGCTGGCAGAAAAGGGCCTGGAAGGGAAAAAGAGATGTTTGACAACTTCATCGTGGAGCTGATGGGTTGACTTTTGGACCTGATGGGTTGTTTTTTTGGGCTGAAGGTTCTCCACAGTGGACCCTGCTGATACCAGAGTTTGGCTGCGGGTGAGTGGGGGTGTGTGGATCTCAGCAGGCACATTTCCTCCATGAGGATCTCTGTGGCATCTCACTATAGTCAGCTTTCAATGACCAAGGAGGCTTTTTTCCACTCCCACAGCCTGAGTCACTGGCAGGCTTGTGAGGCCCCAAAATCTGGTGTTTGTGGGTTTGGCTCTCAGGTGTGAGCCGTAATTTGGGATTTGCTGAGTGTGTGCAGGTGGTTGAGCCATTGTCATAGAGGCAACTCTTTGGAGCAGCTGGTGGGAGAACATGAGGGATACAGGACAGCCTGTGGTAACTTTGGGTCCCTGTAGAAGGAACCAGTTTCCACCAGCTGCATGTTCCAGTGGACCCAGAATGATTTTGGCTGTGCTCTTCCCCTCTGAAAGTGCCTTTGGCTTCCCTAGGAGATTGCAGAGCTGAGGGTGGAAGCCAACAAGACAGCTGATGGTGTCCTCGCCCTGGAGAAGGCAGTGGCCACCCTGCGGCGCGAGGCCAAGGAAGTGGATGATGAACTGGAGGGGAAGCTCTCAGAGGTTAAGGCAGAGGCTGCTATGATACAGCAGGTGGGTCCTCGTCTCGCTTGCCTTGTGCCCTTCCCTGTTGACTTTTGGGCTAGACTCCACCTCACAGCTGCTGCCTTGCCTCCTTCAGACAGCCCAGGACGCTCAGAGGGTCCATGACATGGCTGGCCAGGCAGGGGTGACCGTGCAGGAGACGCTGAGTGCCCTGGAAGAGCTGCTGCGCCTGATGAGTAGGTCTGGGGATGCCACTGTGGGATGTGGGTGGAGACAGGTCCCCACTGGGTCTGGGCACAGGAAGCTGCCTCAGGGTGATGCCTGTAAACAGGCTGAGCAGCAGGATGGAGATGAAGCATCTGAAAAGCTCTACTGCCCAGTCTCCATCCATGCTTTCCTGTCCCTTGTTTTCCTCCTGTGCAACAGACCAGCCTGGTGCTGTGGATGAGCATGGCCTGGAGCAGCTGGAGAAGAATTTCCTTGAAGCCAGAAACAGCAGCAGGGAGCTGAAGGAGAAAATGTTGGAGCTGGAGCAGACAGCCACACAGCAGAAGAACCAGATGCAGAAACTGGAGAGCAGCATTGACCAGGTCCTGGCCGACATCAAGAACCTGGAGGATATCCAGAGGAGTCTTCCTCCAGGCTGCTACAACACAAAAGCCATTGAATTGCCATGAGCAAGCTCTGGAGAGGCTGCAGCATCTGCCAGGCTGATGGCAGGAGAGCTTCCCCACACCTGGCAGGATTGGCTGTGTTTGGCTGTGTTGAACTGATCCTTCCCCTCGAGTTCAGCGTGGCAGATGAAGTTCACAGTGCCACACTGGCCCTGAAGAGTCCCCAATTTTTCAAAGTGCTCCGTCCCTCGTTCATGGGAGGAAGGAGATACCTGATTTGTGAAGGTGCTACTGGCTGCAGAACAGCCCATTGCTGCAACATTTCTCTGAGGTGCAGGTGGGCATTGCTTGGTGTCAGCCTTGGGAGCTTGCACAGTTCAGAGCCTGAAGGTCATGACTGAGAGGTGCTCCAGCCGCTGTGGGTCTCCTCTCCTGGTCTGGCACAAGCAGAAGGACTAGAGTATCTGTTCTTCCTTTTGGCACTGCCACCACCATCTCCTCCTCATGTTCTTCCTCCCCTTGGGTAGCTCAGGAGGTAGGGAGTGAGCAGCATGAGACTGCTGGGGCAGATGAGTTTTGAGCCATGGCACCAGTGATGTTCTCCTCCCAGCCTGCCCAGTCCTCACCTTGCTGGGAGTGGTGTTGACATGCTGTGGCTCTCGTGCCTGAGATCTCTGGCCCATCCTGCAGTGCCTGCAGCCTGATTTGAGCTGTTTAAAAACACTGAAGATGTCTTGAATGTGTCTCCACCCCTGGTTTGGTGCTGCTGTCCCCCCCTCCTGCGTGGTGCTGGATGTTTCTCAGAGGCTCAGGTAGTTCTCCACGGGGGTTTCCCACTACATCTGAGCAGAGCTCAGAGGAGCTGAAGGCCACGGTGCTGCCTTCACCCACCTGCAGCTTTCCTGTCAGTCTAGCTCTGTTCTCACACTGCTCCCACCTTCCTTTGGCTTTCAGGGTGGGAAAGAAATGCTGGCAGCTGCTGGAGTTAGCTCTGCTGAATCCCCTGCCCTGTGTGGTGGTGAAGGAGGAGGTTCTGGATGGAGGGGAGGACACTCTGGGGATTCACTCACCCATCCCTCTCTCTGATCCAGCAGCACCTGTGCTTTTGCCTGTTAAGAATATACCAAGTATTATGTTTGCCTTATACTTTTATTTAAGTGAGATGTATTCTAGGCTTTGTCTTGTCCTCTCTGGTTGTACCTCATAGGGACAGGTATTACAGACCTGACTATTTTTCCATGAGTTTGTGTTTTTTTTTATAAGGAAGGAGGTCAATAAATGGTTAATACTTTTGGCTGGATCTTGCCAGCTGGTTGATTTTTCTCAGGCTGTTTTGGGTGGGTTTGGCCCATTTGCTCTCTTTGTACTGACTCAGTCTTGGGGCTGTTTTCAAATGACACCAGCAACATCTTTCTTTTGTTTTGTTTATTACATAATTTAAACATTTTGCTGATAAAGTTTTCTTTTGTCAATGACCTTTTCTTCATATAGCAACAGAAAGAAAAAAAAAAAAAAAGGCTCCAAAACTTTTGACAAAGGTGAAATCAGTGGCATGGCAACTTCAACTCCTTTCCCTCCCCCCCGTGTTTATTTGTTTTCCCCAAAAGGCGTTTGAAGTTCATGTCTCTTTCAGCAAATTGCACTGTTTAAAAGTGGAGGTTCAAAGACCAAAACCCACGAGCTTCTTCCCACCCCTCCCCTGCACCCTGGAAACCCCAATCCTCACCTCCCCAGCGGTCACATGGATCATTGCAGATGATTAGATTTTCCCCAAACCCACCCAAAACCGCTTTTCCAAACCAGCCCCAGAGCTGAAGGACCTGTTACAAACCCTGTCCCACCCCCCAGACCGTGTGTTTGACGGAGAGGATACACGAAGGCTCGAGTAAGACTAATAAGACAGAATATACTCATCATCCATACCACAAGGCTACGTCTCTAAGGCTGTCTCTACTGCCATCCTAACCACGATGGGGTGGGAAGCCACTGGCATTCCCTGTGTCCCATCTCACGTACCTGAGGGAGGGAGGGACGACTGGAGATGGCTCTCAGACCTGGAGCCTTCCTTCTCCATCTCCTTTGCTTTATTTCCCTATGTCTTTTCCTCAGTGAAAACTCACTCTCCTTCCTCCCCTTCCAAGGAGGCATCATTCCCCCAGGATGAGATCCCTCTGTGTGTGTGTGTTGGAGGCTCTTGGCCACCACTGCTGCTTCTCCTCTGGCTCAGAGCTAAGAACCATGGGTGACATCTGGCAAGGAGGAGAGGTTGCTGTCTGGAATAACTTCTGTGTTGGGGTGAAGAAGGAGGGGAGACTGACAAACTGGAGGTGTGAGAGGAGTCTAGCGAGTGGCTTACGTACGTTGGGTGTCCCACCATGGACACCTCACCTCGTGTCAGCTGAGGGAGCTCAGTGGGGTGTTGGTGACCAGCTCCAGCTGGCTGAAGACCTCCCTGGAGAAGAGGCATCCCTGCTGTCCAAGTCCTGCATGCACTCACCACCCTCTCTGCTTGGGCATCTCCGTATCTCCTCATCCCATGGGATATGGGTGCAGCCACCTGGAGACACCAGAGCTGGTGCTGAGGGACTCAGCTGCTGAGTTAAGAACAGCTCCTAAATGAACCTCTCCATGCAAAGGGAAACTCCTGGCAAGGAAAGACCTCTTCTGGGCTCTGAGTGAGTCCCATCACTTCTGTCCCTCATGGCTTCCCCTCTGGGAAGGGCAGTGCCCTCGTGAGAGATCATTAGATCCTGCTCTTAAAACCCTCCCTGCTGCAGGGACTCTGTCCAAAGCTGCTTGCTGTCCCAGGGATGCCAGCAGCACCCAGCAGGTCTCCAAGTCTTACCCTTAGAACTTCCAGGAGAGCTACTCGTGACCCTTTGTGGACTTCTAAGGGACAAAGTAAAGGAAATTTCATCTCTTTCCTTGAAACACCCTGGAGGACTCAGCTACAGGCAGCAGGGCTCTACCCAAAGTGATACAAGGTTAGAGGGAGCAAAGGGAGAGGAGAAGGTGAGAGGTAGGGAGGGCTGTACCTTCCTCCTTGTGGCTGTGACCTTCCCCAGGGGCTGTGCAGGGTCCTTGCCCTAGGGATGCTCAGCAGGACAAGGGTCTGCTCCAGCAATGCTCCTCTCCAGAGAACTTCAGTGATTGCTCCACATTACCTGCTCTGCTTTTACTGCAGGCACCTCCACTGACTCCATCCCTGGCACCAGGTGGGAGAGCAGGAACCTGGCACGCCCCAGGGGATGTGCAAAGCAGCCAGGGCTGGTTTGGGAGGGGGAAAGTATCATGCATTTAATAAACTCTTCAAGGAGAGGAAGAGAGTAGGAGTGGAGGGAGGAGGGGGAAGGTTACAGAGATCTGGAGGCTAGAGGTTATGGGCAAATTCTCACCAGAGGCTTTGGCTCACCACCTGCTTCTTCCTCCCTTGTTTCTTGGCTCCATAAGTGGCAGATCCCTTTCTTGGTGCTGTGAGATGCCCCCTCTGACACTGGGCTGGAGCAGAGCATCACCCTAACTCCACTTGCCTAGGGAGTGGCTTAGGTTCTGGGAGCCAAGGGAAGGTAAGACATGACATTCTCCCTGTAATGCTTTGGCAGTGATACTTGCCAAGGCCTCTGCTCCCCTTTAGAAATGTCCTCTCTGTGATTTTTCAGGGCCAGGAGGAGGATTTTGTTAGCTGAGTTGTCCTACTGCTGGCCTGAGGAGGTTCTCCTGCCATGGGGGGCACTGAGCTGGTTGGGTTACAACTGCCAACCAGGGTTTGGTTGGTCACCATGTCAAGAGGTCCAAAGGGCTCAGAATAAAACTATTTGATTTAAAAAAAATCCCCCTAGATTTATTGAGCTTAAGTTGTGTAAGATGAAGCAGAAGAGGCAGCCCCTGCTCTGAGCATGCTGGGAGGACAGACCAGGGGACCATTTCCCAGGGACATGCTGGGAGGAAGGTGCTGGAGCTGCCTCCCCTTGAGCACACCGAGCACATTGCTCTCCTACCAGTCCCTCCTCCCTCCCCACGTACACAGGGCAGGGCAGTACCCCAAAAAACGAGACCAAACTGTTCCCTGGACATTGCTGCACGATGGAGCGTTGGTGCCGGGGGTGAGGCGCAGACATAGGCAGGAGGCCATGGGATGGGGAGAGATGGAGACAAGGACAGAGAGAGAAAAAAGAGTGATGGAGAGCTGTAGGCAGGCGGGACATGAGGGCTGTCTCACTGCAAGACCTCTGGTGCTTAGCCAGAGGCGTTGATGTAGAGCTGGCTCTTGAGGATGTAGTCGATGACAGGCTGGCAGAGGTAATCCACAACGTGTCCATCCCCGTGCTGCAGGGCCAGTCTGGAGGTGCAGGGGAGAGAAAGGGGTCAGAGCCCACCTGGGTGGGTTGTGTTTCTGCAAACAGAGGGGCTGGCTGGGGACACTGCTCTCCCTGTTTTGCAGTGAGAGTTCCCCTGCATCACCCACCTGCTTTTGGTGGAGCTGACGACCGACATGGGGTGGTTTGAGTCGTCCTTCACCACCAGGATGTTGTTCTGCAGGGGAAGAAGGAAAAGGGGAGTGAAGGGATGGTTTGAAGGCAGGTGATGCCCCACCAGCCTCCCTGCCCTGCTGGCCTTGGGGGCTGCTGTGTGGTTGGCCCATTGCCCATCCTGCCCAGCAGCAGAGAGCATCTGGCCTCGAGGTGTTTTGTGCCCCGTGGCAGAAGTGCTCCCCTGGGTAAAGAGAGGCTGTGGGTCCTCTCTTTGCATCCACTCACTTTGTACTTGCGGAGTATGGAGGAGTGGTTCATGATCCTGTCAGGGTCTGCTCCATCCCGGGGCACCACCACGATCCCGAACTCCCCGACGATCACCTCCATCTAGGAGCAACCCAAAGTGTGGAGAGCTTCATACTGACCCCACTCAGAGCCTGTCACTGTCTGCCAACCCCCCATGCTTCATCAAAGATGGGATGTGGTCTGGATGGAGATGGAAAGGGAGTTTGAGGCTATGTCAACAGGCTTTGGCAGAAATGTGGAGTTATCGAGGCAAGTGGGCTGAAGAGGGTGAAATAAAAGGCACAG